TTTGAGATTATTGTATCTAATTTCAAATAAGAAATTTGATAACTTCTCATACTTTATTAAATATTTCATTTGTATATCATTTTACTCTCTAGAAATACATTTAATTTAGTTTGAAATAATATATAATGCAGCTTGTCAAAGTTTGTCAGTATTAATACTTAAAGAACTAAATCTGAAAATGTAACACATTAATTTATCATTCTGGAAATGATTTGCTTGATGATGAGCTTGTACATTGTCGAATGAACTTGTATTTTGTTAATCCATATGTTTTGCTTATTCATTTAAATAGTGTTAACGTCATTGACAGTTTTCATACTAATCATTGATGCTCTTTCCTTTGCTTGTGATAAATGATAGCACTTACAGTAAATAGAAAAACCTAAATCTGTTCACATTGTGCAACATGATTTTTTTTATGATGTACAATGAAAGTTTGGAAACCACTGCTATAAAGTCAAAGAATCGATATAAATTTCTTACAGAAATGTTTAAATATGCAATATATGCTAACTTAGAGTTTATGCAGTTACAGTATAAGGAAATATGAAACTTCATTCAAATTAAGCATTTATTTTTTCGAAGGTATTTTTGACATGCTAGTCATTAATCTCATTTAGCACAGGATTTACATACTGGGAAAGTGTTTTTGCATAACTATCTGGGTCTAAGTAATGAATGCTTATTATTAGAAAACACTTTGAATTCAACTGATTATTTTTTTACCACTGAATTTCAAACAGTTTGTTGATTTATAATATAGCTTCTTAAATCTGAGAGCATTATAATTTCACATAAAAGATGATGCATTGGATAGTAAACTTGCCGCTTGTGTAGTATAGATTTTCGTAATGCTGTTTCTTTAACATGTGAAGTTAAAATTGCAAAGTACTGCAAAACAGAACTTCAGAAACAGGTTCGAATGTGACTTCCTTGCATAAAAATTGCAATACGATACTGATAGGAATATTTATTTTTACTGTATTTTAGACAGTTAACAAGCATGCATAAAATGTACGGTATATGTAAATTGATGAGATTAGCTGCATTATTTAATATTTGTCCTTATAGATTTGCATATTAACTCACTATAATGACTATTACATTTATAGAACTAATGCAAAATTTTATTTTTTTTTTATTACTTAAAAGATTATAAATCTTATTTCCTTCATTTTTACTTTTTTTATTTGATAACTAAATGACGAAAATAAGTAAATTTCTATATATTAATCATAGGAAATGAATTTTATTTACACAATTTTAACATTCTATAAAAAGAATGAACTAGTTTATTTCAATGTCATGTTTACAGTTTAATACACTTATATTTATCTGAACAAGATATCGTTAAGATCGGTTGCCTTTTGATGGTATATTGTGATTGGAAGTTTTTGTTGGTTTACAGATACATAAAGATATATTGTATTTAAATATTCACTCAAACTGCTGAATTCTTATTGGGCTACCTTAAGGCCATTTATGTTGCTTTAGGAAATAGAATATGTTACTTAAGTAATGACTAGCCACTGTTGTTGTTCATCTGAATTAATTGATGCACTTGTTTTTAAAGCTAAAAATAATATACAACAAATCATATTTTATGAATTTAAAATATCATATTTTTTTTATTGTCGGATCATCTATTTTAGACCAAATTATAATGTAACGACTATTAAAAGTGCATATATACTCTTGGATGGCAATATAATAATTATTAAAATATAGCACACAGATTTTTGAAAACTTTCATAAATCAACAAAACTATAGAGATGAATGTGATTAATGGTGGGCAAAGTTTAAATAACGCTAAATTTTTTTGCCCTGTTAGTGGGCTGTCTTTGGACGTGGACAGTTGAAAGTGGAATATCGGTGTATGTAAACAGTGGGAAAGCGTACATTCTTCTTATGTCTGCTTGGCAATCTCCTTAGTCTTTTACATTAGTCATTGTCGTCATAATCCACCTACCTCAATTGTCTACCCCTTTGGGATCTATTCGGTCTTCCAACATTGGCATTTTATTTTCAACTGTCTGTGCTTGAAGACGGCTTGTTCACCAGGTCAAAAACATTATTTAAACTTCACCCACCATTAATAGTGCATTGATTGATTAATTCAAAATTTTTGCTGAATAAATTTTGTAAATCCTGTTTTATGAAAAATAAATTTATACAAGACTCTTATCAAAACATGCAAAGTTTTTTTTTCTGTGTGTTTGTGTCTGGAATTTAAAGTAATTGTTACTTAATTAAATTATAGAATCTAGCATAATTATAGGTTCTTAAAGAATCATTTTTATGTATTTTATTATTTATAATATTTTAACACTAAGACTACTTTGAATAATTTTATTTAATAAACTGTAATTTTGTATTATTTTATAATTACGTATTCTGTATAGCTTACTTTTAACGGTTATTTTTATATTTACTATAATTCAAGATTACTTAACCTGATTTTTACCCACATTCATCTCTCTAATTTTGTTGATTTATGGAACTTTTCAAAAATCTGTGTGCTATATTTTAATAATTATTATATTGCCATCCAAGAGTATATATGCACTTTTAATAGTCGTTACATTATAATTTGGTCTAACATAGGTGATCCAACAATAAAAATAAAATAAAATATAACTTTGAATTCATAAAACATGATTTGTTGTATATTATTTTTGCTTTAAAAACAAGTATGGTTATAATTGGATTCTTTTTTTTCCATAATTCACAGGTGTTTTTAGTTAATTTTCTTTTGGGATTGTGGTTCTTAAATATTTATACATCATCTGTAAAATGCATTCTGTTTTAGTACTTTACAAATATAACAGTTTTTTCCCCAGTTTCGCTTTTGTGTTTATCAATTGTTTGTTAAATAACAGTCAAACACAATAAAAAGTATTAACATTTTGAAACATTGTTTATATTTGATTTATTCTGTTCAGATTAAGTAACCACTTGATTGATTTGATCAATTAAAAAACAATGACCGAACCAATTAAGTTGTGCCGAAAGATTGAATAACTAGTCTTGATATTAACCTACTTCAATTTGAAGCATTTACTGGGTGTACTTATGAATATTCTGTAGACAGACAGACATATACAACATAATTTGTTTTTTAATTACAAAATAAACTAGATTATTAGCAGACTTTTATAAAAGCTACATATTTTATACTTTATAATAATAATAACTTACAATTCAAATGGCTTTTCACTGAATACAAGTACTCTTGTCATCAGTTGACAAGAGATGAAAGCACTTGGATTTTCACTCGGAGATAAAGTTTGAATTGGATTTGTTCGAGGAGCTTCTTTAACACACCTAATTATTTGCCGTGATTTTGATTAAAATATTTGAAAATTGCACTTAAAATTATAACGGCAGTCGATAGCTTCTCAAACTTGTTTTTAGACTAAGAAAAGCTCTAATAATGACTAAGTGAAAGTTTTTTTTTTTTTTTGAAAAAGAAGTACTTTTACCTTCTTTATTTTCATTAAAAGCCATTAGAGTAATGAGATGTTCTATTATTTTCTAATAATAGTGAATACTAATTTTATTTTTGTATGCATTAATTCTGCTTGTCTTGTATGTATTAACAAATATTAAACTACTGTTAACATTTAATACAAGTCAAACAAGTACCAGATTTGTTACTTTGTGTGTGTATTTATATTAATTAATCAAATTGTCTATGTATATATAATCAATAAATCTAGAAATTGATTTTGTATTAACTGTTTATTTCCTGTAGTGTTTGTTTCTATTGTTCCAATGAAAGATAATCTGCTCAAAGGCTAAACACAAAGAATATTCCAGAGTAAAAATTAAAGTATATAAATAATTCAAATGCATTGTTATAAAACACATTTAAATTAAAATAATAATTTTAGATGATATTGAGAAAAATTTGTTCATGAAACTTTTGTACATTCAGATGTAGTGAGGGCAAGACAGGCAAATGCTATGGGTGCTAGACAGAACTTGGAGACCCCTTTCTTAATAGTAAATAATTTAAAAAAAATTAAATGCGATGAAGGGGAAATGTGTGCGGAGTAGTATCATTAGAACTGTTTTATTAAAACACATTTAATTATCATTATCGATTTTACAATCATTGAATTAAATGGTGAAATTCTTATTTTTAATATGATTGATCTAGGTTAGTACATTACAAAATCTAAGTAGAGTGGCCCAAAAGTCAGTCAACAGGGGAATACTTTAGTTAACTGACATTTGGACCACCCTGTGTGTCTGTTTTGATTATTACAAGGTTTTATTCATTCAGAAAGGAAATATAATTTTTTATATCCAAATTTTTTTATTGGAGAAATTCTAAAATCTTCTTTATCATCAGAGATACGTTTGAAACTGAAACATTAAATTCAAAATACTTTGCTGCCATATTATAGATCTTATATAAATTGCCTGTTTATTGTTAATAATAAATTTGCTGTAATAGTTTGAATCCATAAAGTAGTATAAATGGTTTCTCATCCTACTTTCGATTTGTGGTAAATGTAATTTAATGCCGATACTTTCCACCACTGCAGTCATTCTAGTGTTCTAAAGTTGTTTGTATAGTACAGACTTTTATATAAACGAATCGTGGTATTTTGTAATAATATAAAAATAACCTTTTAATAAACTACTCTTGACGTTTCTTCCATTGCAGATTGTTTTATTGATCAGATGTCATTATAATTGTTTGACATTTTCAGATATTGGTATGAACTCGTGAACTACTTACAAACGTTCTCGTTTGTTATTTAGTTCATGTCGAGAATTAATATAAAGCAAACTATCTTAACTGCAGTTTATGATGATAAAGTAGCATATGTTATTAAATTTAACAATCATCATAATTTTTTTTTAGAATAAATGTGTCATATTTAATGTTCCATAATTACTATTTTCAAAGTTTTAATTAAAAATTTTGAGAATGAACGAACTACTATTATACGAACATTAATTTATAAATTTGCTTATAATTTTTCAGGTATTGATTTCAAGATTAAGACAATAGAATTAAAAGGGAAGAAGATTAAATTACAAATATGGTAAGTTTAAAAAACTTATTGTTTCGAGTTGTTCTTGAAGTAGTAATGAATATATTGGCACAATTAGCTTTTTTTCCCTGCTCATCATTTTACAAATCTTGGCTGAGAGCGGCAGCTTATCCAAATAAGGTTTTGAAGCATTTAGAGGAAGTATGTTGGTAACTCTTTCTTGGATACTGTTGAATTCATACAACCAGAGTCCTTCATACTAACAAGGACTTGTTTGTACTGCTGCATGTCATAGCACCCTGCTCAAGATTTCCAAAAACATATTATACTTTTACAGCTTCATTTCTAACTTAACTATAATAAGTAGCATAAACTTTAAATTTAAGATGCACCTATTAAATTTTTTAAAGAGGGAAAATCTTGGATGATAATTAATTCTCTTGAAACTATATTTTAAAGTAAATGTTTTGTTGTTGTTTACTGATACGTACGTAACAGAAAATACAAAAGAAATGAAGATTTATAGTAAGCTCAAAGAACGGACACAGAATATCCCAAAATTAAGCGACCTAATTTTGACGCAAGTTTGAAGTAATACTGTACATTATTATTCAATATTTTCTTTTCAATAGTTTTTCCCTTATAAAGAATTTCTAAATTAAATTATAATTGCGTGTAACTTTTTAATAAACAATCTCTACAAATATTATATTACATTTTTGCAAATACTTGTGATGTGTGAATGTCTTTGTTGTATCGTACAACTTATATTAATAGGTCTTCTATTTTCTTTGTGCATTTGTCTAGCAGAGCAGCTATTTTAAGTGGTAATCAATTTTAACAACAAAACAACATTATGCAATAAAAAGAAAACAATGCATGTTTTTGGCTTGTTGGCATCATGTTTTTCCTCTTATCAATAATTTCATTTTGAACCATTTTTATGTGGATTTTACATGAATCTTTTTATGACTAGTATTTGAAATGTTCTCAACCAATTGTACGCTAACTGTTTGCATCATGTAATACGAAGCATACAACATTTTGCTTTGATTATTATTTGTTCATTTGTATGACAGTGTGAACCTTTTTAAACTTTTGGTTTCAGATCCATTCAAACATTTTGTTAGATTTAACTATATTTATTTTTTAACTAGTGAAGTCATCTAATTTGTTTCTACATATCAAATGCACATGAAAATAGCACAACCTAAATAGTTATGCAAAGGTGCTTTTTGTGCATATTGTTATTTTATGACTAATTTTTGTTAAAAACTATCTTTCAGTAAGATAATTCTAATTATATATTCAGAAGACAGACAAAATTACTGAAATTATATATTTAGACAACACAGTACTAAGTAGTTAATTTGATGTTTGAGATTATTGTATCTAATTTCAAATAAGAAATTTGATAACTTCTCATACTTTATTAAATATTTCATTTGTATATCATTTTACTCTCTAGAAATACATTTAATTTAGTTTGAAATAATACAATATTTATTAAATAATTTCAGTATTGTAGAAAAAACTGTTTAAAAGCAAAACTTTTCACATCAGTTGGCTATTTATTATGTTATTTTTATTATTGTGAAGAATTTTGTAAATATTCAAGTTTGTGTCTAACTTTGAATTTGAGATTATTCTAAATGAAGAAAAAAATTTTCATTTCTAAACTACAATATTTTGCATTTATATTTTTATACTGTATATGCATATACACTGTATAATGTATTATAACCCTTAAAAAGTTTTAAATCTATGAATTTTCTAATTTACATTATTCCTCTTTTCCAAATTTTCAAACACACTAGTGGCCAAGTGGATAAAACTACCGAATACTAGTAATTATTGGATTCGTGCTTGACTAATGGGGGCCGGCCATGTAGAGTTTTCCAGGGTTTCTTTGCATATCTAAGACCTGAATAGGGGCCACATTCCCATAGTGTTACCACAGATCTATATGTTTTGTTGCCTTATCACAGTGTTTCTCAACCTCTAACAAATTGTCGCCCCTTTTAATAAAACCGTTATGTAGTATTGCCCCCTTCACTTCAAAATTCCGATGCCAAGGCTAACGGCAAATTTGTACTGCATTGAATAGACTAGTGACTAGTATAATGCTATTTGTTTAATTTTTGTATGATATAACAAATAAAATATCTAATTACTCTTAATGTAATTAAGAGTAATTAGATATTTTATTGTTTTTCGCCCCCCAAAATATAAATTGTTACTAATTGCCCCCCTCAACATGGAAAAATGCCCACATGGGGCAATATTGCTCCTGTCGAGAAACACTGCCTTATCACTACAAATTTCTTATTATTGAAATTTTGTGCACGAGATTGCAAAATACAAAGCTTGGAATGATGATTTTAAAATTTATGTTAATCAGATGTGCTATAATTAGTTCACTGTTTCACGTAAAATAACATTAAACATTGTGAAGTGTAAATATTGTTATTTGAATAGTTACTTGAAACTTATTTTAGAAACTTGAGTCTAAAATATTTTTGTCACTAATCTATGCTTTTCTTCAAATTATTTTCTATAAAAGCTTTTACTTTCAAAATAGTTTGAAAAGGGTGTTTTTATAAATTTCTTCAGAAAAGCATTTATAGCTATGTTGTACTTTGTTAATAATTACTGATCTTTAATGTGACTTACTAAAATGTATTTATATAAAAGACGATATAACCACCTGTTTCTAAGCAATTATGCAGTTGTTTCTGATGTAACAACTGTTTGAATATAATATTTTAGATCTTGTTGTAGGTTGATACTTTCTATAGTTTCCTTTTATTTTTTAGTCGATTGCCTATGATACATAGAAACCCATCAGATTTTAGCTTTCATTTGATTAGTTTCTACTAACCAGATGCATTCAAACCAGTTTATAAATTATCAGTTTAAAATGCTATGTGAATATGTTAGTTCTGTGTAAATAAATACCAAAATTATTCTTATATTTAATTATTTTGTACAGAAATATAAAAAAGTATAACCCCTACATATTTGTTATTCTAAAGTTATTTAATTGTATAATGTTAATAAAGTAGTAATCTAACATAATTAATTATTAATACAGAATTATTATTTTCCTAGGGATACAGCAGGCCAAGAGAGATTTCATACAATTACTACTTCATATTATCGCGGTGCTATGGGCATTATGTTAGTGTACGACATTACTAATCCAAAGAGTTTCGACAACATCGCAAAATGGTTAAGGAATATCGACGATGTAAGGAATACATTCAGTTTGTGCAATATTATAATTATTTAATATTAATTTATACATAATTTGCATTTTCAGCATGCCACCGAAGATGTCGAGAAGATGATTCTCGGTAACAAATGTGATATGGAAGACAAAAGAATGATCAGCAAAGAAAGAGGAGAATCGGTAATTTGTAGGAATTTTTTGAAATTTTAATGTCGTTTCAATCAAATTTAATGAGAGAGACTTATTTTAGATTGCACGAGACCACGACGTAACCTTCTTAGAAACAAGTGCAAAAGCAAATATCAATATCGAAGAAGCCTTTTTTCATTTAGCAGAAGCTATCTTAAATAAGGTGGTAGTTTTATTCTTATATATATTAAATAATACATTTTGAAAATGGTACTTCTACTTGTATTAAAAATTTAGTTTTTAAATTTATAAATTTCATTATTGTCAATATTTTTTGACAGCAAATGGCATTGAAGGATCAAACAGAATCATCTGACAAACTGCGCATTGCTACACAAGATAAAAATACGGGGAAATGCTGTTAGGTAAATAATTTCTTTAAAAATGTTATCAAAAAGTTTAAATTAAAGTTCTATATTTAAGAGAAAAGTAAATTTTTCCTGCATTATAATGCTCTTTTGAATTGTGTGCTTATGTAAGCAAATAACAGACATATATATATATATATATAAATGGCACAAATGAAGTTGTTAGAACCTTATCAGTGCTGTAGACCCATGCACACAGAACTAAAAAAAAGTGAAAGGAACCTAGGATCTTCATATCACCCTTTCCAAGATATAGCTTCCCCAAAAATCCAGAATATATTGACTGGGATCCAGGAAATATTTTTCTCCTTTGCATTAAACTTGCATCAAATTTATATAAATAATTGGATTTAACTATCAAAGATATTTTGAATTTGTACCATAATAGATTAGAAATAAAGTTGATTATATTAAGAGATAAAATATGAAAATTGATTTCAAAACAAAAATTTAATGAAAAAAATTAGGAATGTAACATCAATTAAGGAAGCTCTTCAAATGTAAATCCTATAAAATTTACTTTTCTCACTTTACATAATCTGGAAGCACTAGAATTCTTGCAAATCAAGTGTTAACAAGAGAAATAAAGTTAAAGATTGAGAGAGAATTGTTTAAATATATTATTAATTAATACATTTAAACAATTTTACTGTTAATATGCATACATACATACATACTATTTTTCAATAGATTCTCCTTCAAGGAAAACAATTCAAACTGGATAAACACATCTGTTAATCTCGTGATTTTGGTTGAATGTTGCTTATTCAATTGATTGCACTATTTCATAGCAAGGAATGAAAATAATTTCCATTTTTAATCATAATTAATTTTTATTCTTTGCCTCATACATTGTTAGCCATATCAGTATACACACACTGGTACAGCTAATGATATAAAAACATTTGTTTTCCAATCATATATAATCAAAGAAAAGCAGACTTAAATTTTTTAGATCACTTCATGTAGTAAATTTCAAATTAACAAAAACTCTTATTAAAATCTTAAAACAATGTGTGATATTTGTTGTTGGGCTGCAATTTGAAAAAACTAGACACGTTCCCACTGTCATCTCTCTGTCCTTCCTTAATCTCAAGAACAGAGTTAGATAGATGAAAGCCGAGAACAGATATGGAAAACTTAGGAGCAAGAGGCCCGGATTAACTATATACAAACTTCCAATTCAAATCAGCAGTTGTATTGTTTCAATTCAAGCATTTTTCCTTGAAAGGAGTTAGATAGATGACTGCATAGCATTAGCAATAGAGTTGTGCTAACTTTTCCTGTTAGCACAACTCTATTGCTAACAGGAAAAGTATGATGTAGATGGGCAAGACACTACTAATTTGAGGTGGAGAGCATATATATTAAATTAAATTAATTAAAAATACAATTAAAAATTACAGCTTGGCTTTGTGATGATGTCACAATAAATATTTGCTCATTCAAATTATATTATTACAGTAGTCTGTACAGTCCATCAGTTGCCTCTCACTCTTCAGGATGGCACACATGAACTTTTCATGCTATCACTTGATGTATGTGACAGAGAGACTGATTTATGTGTATAGTAACAGTTGCTACTTGTTTGTTGCACTTGCAGTCAGCAAAATGGTCGTAATTGTGATTAATACGATAAAATATGCTAAGAGCAAAGTGCATTTTTTTTTTTAATATTCTGTGAGTACATGCATACAAAATCCAGAAATCTGACACTCATTAGTCTGATATATGTCGGATTAGAAAGATTCTGCTGCATTAGATCATAGTTTTCGTGTAAAATATTTTACAGGAATGCAATTTTTCTATCTTATATGTTGTTATAATTTTATAATTGATGGAGTAAAAGTAGTAGTGCTTATTCACATGCTTGATTTTAAGATACAATGCTATTGTGATTTACAGAGATTCCATTGCCAGAGTGCATGAACACATGAAAATTTGTATAAATTAAAATCAATTACAGTCGACCCCCCTATAACGTACGTTCCTATAACGACAATTCCTATAACGTAGCGAAAAAATTGTAGCAACTTTCGTATAACGTACCTTCTATAACGTCGTTTCGCGACAAGATTGATAGAGTCTGGACCAATAGTGGATGAGCAGCCGAACTACTTTCCTCCGACCCTGCGCCACGCTACGGAGCGGCTAAATTGAGTTTGCTATCGTCTGTTTAGTATTATATATAAATTATATATAAATTAGGTACTGTACATATAATTATATATTAATTATATATAAATTAGGTACTGTATATATAATTATATATTAACTTAATTTATTGTAACTTTATTATAATTATATATATGCTTTCTGCCGCCTGGCAACACGCTACGGAGATTTTAGGCTAGTAAGTTGAGTTTA